TCAATTTTCTAGGGATCTTTGACTCCTTTCCTCACATTTAAGTATGAGGCTTGAAAACAGGCTAAGCCTCTGTTTGTGTGGGTAGAGCACGTGTGCGGAAGGGCAGGCTTGGTGTCAGGCAGGGATACAACAGGGATGAATCTGTAGGTCTTTTCTTTTGTGCTGGTACATCTCTCTAGAGAGTTAACTTCCTATTTCAAACTAGATTGGTGGATGAGATCTAGAAGCTTTTCGGTTCTTTTTAAAGACTTTCAAACAAAACTTTTACCGTGTTTCATTCATTGTTGCCACCTGCAGAGTCCCTAGTGCCTCTAATTTCTAAGCCTTTCTAGGCTGTGTAGTACAATTTTGCTTGGCTCTTGTTGACTTGCTCATAGGCCCACCGGCACCCCCTCCCATGCAAATACACATATGCACCCGCATGCACATGTGTGCACACAAGCACAGCATCACCAGAAGGCCCAGAGCTTTCTCCATTCCTATAAAGCAGTCGTCACTCATTCAATCATTTTCCTGTTTGTGAACTTTTTGATATCAGTTGTCTGCCTTTGTATCCCTTCCTTGTCTCTTGCTCTTGTGAGTTTATTCTTCTTTTCTCCTTTACTGTCTTTAGCAGGGTCCTAATAGTGGATGGAGATAAACAAATACATTTATTCAGGTAAACTATATTCAATCTTTCTCCATCTACAACTTTCTCTGCCCTGGTGCTTTAACTAATTTGGGAAGTCATGACTTCATGATTTTGTGTCTCCATTCCAAAATTCATTTTGGCAAGAAAATTTTAATCTCAAGTTATTGATAATTTAATTTAAAATTTTTTTTTGTGTGTGTGTGTGCTAGGGATTGAACCCAGGGGTGCTTAACCACTGAGGCACATCCCCAGCCCTTTTTATTTTTTATTTTGAGTTGCTTAGGACCTCACTAAATTGCTGAAGCTAGCTTTGAATTTGTGATCATCCTGCCTCAGGCTCTTGAACCACTGAGATTACAGGTGTATACCACCATATCCAGCTTTACTTATTTTTTTAATGAGAGACTTCTTTCTGTGTGACTATTAATATTTGTCTTCACGTATGTTTGTACTCAAACTAGCTTGTAAATGACTGTGTCACATTCACTCTGATCAGCTTTCTCCATTTCAGTCTCTCTGTTCACCTCAATGAGTGCTTCTTTCTCTCTGTTACAATTCTGTAGTGGTTCTGCCTCTTATGCTGGCTGATGCCTCAACTCTAATATTGCAAAAGCTCGCATCAAGTTTACCTAAAGAATAAAGTAGCACGTTTTTACTGGTTCAATAGGTTACTTACAAAGGCAAGTAATAGTTTTTCAAAGAGAGAAAAGTCTTTAGTGCTTGTAGGACCTTTTATGAGCTGCTGAATGTTTGTGGTAGACAAGATAGTGATAATACAATATTATCAAGGGAGCATTTATATCAACATTATTGTATTTGTTAGGACTAAATACATTAGAATATTCTTCCTTCCACTCTTACATTGTTCTAAAAGAAGTTTGGGGACATTAGTAAGATAGTAGTCATGAATTACTTCTGCTGATTATCATTTAGGTGTGTATTTCACAAGAACAAAGTGAATATTATTATTATTACAAATGTGGGGAAAAGAAAGCTCAGAGTTTCTCTAATAGCTCAAAACCCAGAGCTAGTAAGTGACAGAAATGAAATTTGAGCCAGTCTAGTCTGATCCTAAAGCTTGGGCTCATTTTGTGGGACTCCTGCCTCTATTTTTTTTTTTTTTTTAGAGAGAGAGAGGGACAGAGAGAGAATTTTTTTAATATTTATTTTCTTTAGTTTTCAGCGGACACAACATCTTTGTTTGTATGTGATACTGAGGATCCAACCCGGGCCCCACGCATGCCAGGCAAGCGTGCTACCGCTTGAGCCACATCCCCAGCCCCTATATTTTTCTAATAAACACTTACACAGTTTTTTTTTAAATACTTTTTTAGTTGTTGATAGAACTTTATTTATTTATTTATTTATTGTTTAAAAAATATTTTTTAGTTGTTGACCTTTATTTATTTTATTTATTTGTATGTGATGTTGAGAATCGAACATAGTGCCTCACACATGCCAGGTAAGTGCACTACTGCTGAGCCACAGCCCCAGTCCCTCACTTATATATAGTTTTAAGTGCTTTTCAGTCCCTGGGCAAAACCTGTTTGTGTCCTCTAACTGCATTTACAGCAGAAGTATAAAAGAATACCAAAGCCATTTACTAAAAGTCATATAAGTCAGGTAAATAGATTTAATTTAAAATATTAACACTTGGGTATTTAACACTTTGCCTTAAACAGTGCTGCATTATCAATGGTCTAAGCAAATTTGAGCTTGTAAATTTTATACACTCAAGTAACAATTATTTTTGAGTATGTTATGTTGTCAGGTCTGAGTTGGTACTTGGAGGAACATAACTAAAATAAAATATTCTTCTTGTTCTTCCCCAAAACATGTAGATATGACATGTTGTGTCCTAATTTATATTAAAAACACAGGCTTGTCACTTGATATTTGAGATCAAATACTCTTATTACTCAGTGGCTGAGGCAAAGTTACATATGAAAAATGCTTGCAACACAACACAACTCATCGAAGTGTCTAATCAATTATCAGAGTCAGCAAATTCTATATGCATTTAGAGTAGGAGGTCAAAGAAAACAGGAGGAGAAACTACACATGTTTGTTGAGTTCCTACCCCATGAAACTGTAGTTTAGGTGGTCTGGAAACACATCACTGAATGAGAAATTCATGGCTAACTGGCCTGGCCTTGAATGTTGCATTGGATTTGTATGGAGAGAGAGAAAAAATACATTCCAGGCATATGGATTACAATAGTGACAGAAGTGATCCCTCTGGCACTTAGAAGGGTGAAGGGAATGGCCTGATTAAATTTGGCATTCATACAGTGTTAGTCAACTTTCCATGGCTGTAACCAAAATACCTAACCAGAATAACTTTTTGAAGAAAAAAATTTACCTTGAACTCAGTTTCACAGGTTCAGTTCCATCGCTCTGGGTCCAAGATGAGGCAAAACATCATGGTGGTGGAAGAAGATGGGGGAGGAAAGTTGTTCAGTCAGGATAGCCAGAAAGCAGAAGCAGGTGAGGGGGGGGGCGGAATCCAGGGGACAAGATGTAATCTCCAAGGGCCATACTTACTTCCATCAAATGAATTAATCAGCTGATTAGATCACAGCTCTCATAATCTAATCCTTTCATCTCTGAACATTCTTGCATTAACACAGTAGCTTTGGGGGGACACTTCACAGCCAATCCATGCCACATGCTAAGGAAAATCAGGGAATATATTTGAACTGCAAAGAAGGGCAAGAGTCAACAAGAAAGGAAAACAGCACATTGCATTTAATTGCCACATAAATATTTCCCCATTCAACACAATTATTATTATAACCTTCATAAATGTAATATATCTTATTTTCGTTTGTTGGCTTGTTTTATTTACTTCACAAGTATCCTTTGGACTTGGGAAGAAAAGAGAAATTGGGATGGCTTGTGTTTTATATAAAATATAGGGGGAAAAGTGGTGAGTGATTTATCCAAGTTCTGGCAACTGAAGAAGTTTCCCTTATTCCCCCTTCTTCCTCTCTAGAACTAAAGAGGGCTGGCTGGTTACTTTGTAGGACTTGAGGTGATCTTCATTTGAAAGAATCTCTTAAGCTCCACTGTGGTAAGATGTAGCTTTGGGATTTCAAGATTTCTCTTGTGACTATGGATTGACCTACGTAGGAGAGAGATTTCTGGGACATGCTTGCCAATGGAGGGCAGTGGGTCATTGTCTTAAGAGAGCACAGTAGTGTTGAGGGAATGACACGACAGTCATTTGGTATCCTACTTCGTGTTTGGTAAATAACTTTGCACCAAGTTCTCAAGTTCCACCTCTTGGTTGAGAAAGATGCTAGAAAAAGAGCCCAGGCCGCCTAGCAGTCAGTGTAGGCTGTCCCAGGCACTGGAGCTTCATCAGCTCAGCAAATGGAATACGGCCTTGCATTTTGGTTTCGCGATGACTAAGCTGACCGGGTGCGCTGGCTGCAGAGTTTCTTCTTTGTCCTTGCACATTTTATGCTTGACAAGATGCTTAAGCAAATAGAATAGGCAACCGCTAGGAGGTACCCGAGATATGTGTTTGCGGTTCCGAAGAGCAGAAATGGCCAATACTGGCTCTCTGGGCTAGGCAGGTCCAGGCGAGAGGCACTCTTCCAAGGTCTAGGGAGCCGTGAAGCTTATTCGGGGAGCGAGAAGCACTGCTAAGAATAAACAGTCCTTTAATCTACAAGACCGAGGAAGGGAACCCTCCTCCGAGGCATTTCACGTCCGAGGTCTGCGTGCGAGGGCACCAGCCGCCTGCTTATCTGTCTTTCCCTACAGGGCCGAGGCGAGCACCGGGTGTGCACGCACCTCCATATGCGCGCGCTCGCTCGCGCCCGTGAGCATCGGGAGTGGGGAGTGTGTCTTCGTGTGTGTGTGTGTGTGTGTGTCCCCGCGCGCAAGCGCGCACGCAAATTGGGATGTCTGCTAGATCTGCGGCTACCGGACCGGTTAATGGGGTTAGGGGCCCAGGAAGGAATAAATCTCCTCTGGCTTCCGCGCGACTCGCTGCGGGTCAATAACCAACCACTTACAGAAGGGTGACAGCAGCAGCCCCGACCCACTAGCCGCGCATCGAAGGGCTGGGAATGTCAGCCAGTTTCTGCCACACTCGGGGAATATATATGTATTTTTAAGGGAGCTGCTGTTTTTATTGTCTGCCTCTATCTCCAGAGAACAAGGGCAAGAGAGAAGGGTGCGCGCGCTGGGCGAGCTTCGCGGATCTGAACTGGTCGAAGGAGGCAATTTTGCGGGTGGGGGAGGGCGGGGGAGACCTTGATTTCCACCAATCCCGGGGCGTTTGTCTGCGAAGTCCGGGGCGCAGCGGAAGGCTGCGGCGCGCGGCTGAATTAACTGATGAGACCGAGTTCTTTTCTTCTCCTGGAGGGGTGGGGAGCGAGGGTCCTGGCGGGTGAGGCCGAGAAGCCAGGGGCAGGATAGCGGTCCCGGGCCGAGGTGGAAATTTCCAAGGACTTGGCGCGGCGAGGAGAGCGCGTCTGGGGGGGTGCCTGGCGGCGCAGCAGCGCAGGAGGCGGGGAGAGGCGGCGAAGGGCGAAGGAGCATCTCTCAGAAGGGGACGCAGCTGCGAGCCAAATGTCTGAGAGCCAGCCGCGCCTTTTCTCGGACCCTCGCGTAGGGCTACTGTGATGCTATAGAACTGGTAGGAGCGACTCGCTGCCGCCGCTCTCTCGGTTCTTGGAGACCCCCAGCGCCCGCCTTCTGCGGGGAACGACCATGACTGTAGCTCGTGACTTGTCTGCCGGCCACTTCCCGTAGAAAGAAATACTGGAAAAAGTTGCATTATCAGAAATCCTTGTGCTGACCTTTGGGGCCGTGGGGGCCGAAGCAGTGTGCGTGCCTGTGCAAGCAAGAAAGCAAAAGGTGTGTGTGCATGGGGGGCCGGCGGTGGGGGCACCCTCCGCTGCCACTGTGCCTAACGTTATACTGAGGCTCCGGCCCCCATCCTTGGGACGCCGGGGCTGCGATGAACCCCTGCGGGCAGGCCCGGCGACACACATCCAGAGGGGCCATGGCCATACTGGCGTGGAAGTTCCCGCGTACCCGGCTGCCGGTGGGAGCCAGTGCCCTCTGCGTTGTGGTCCTCTGTTGGCTCTACATCTTCCCAGTCTACCGGCTGCCCAACGAAAAGGAGATCGTGCAGGGGGTGCTGCAACAGGGCACAGCGTGGAGGAGGAACCAGACAGCAGCCAGAGTCTTCAGGTACTCCTGCCCTTGGGGCTCCTCCCCTCTAGCGTCCTTTCCTCCCGGTGCGCTGAGGACAGGGTCCCCGACAAGGACCGTCTGGCAGAGGCTTCCCTTTCATCCAGGCTTTCTTGTTCCAATCCCCTTTGTGCTGTTCCCGACTTGGAGACTAGGTAGGGTCTATTTCCCACCCCTTACCCCAAGAGAGGTACAGACACCTGCTTTGCCTATGTAAAGACTATACTCATTTCTTCCCAAGACTGAGTTGTAACAATTGCCCATAACTGGTGGGAAGGACGACCTAGGATAACTTAGTCCTTTGTACTTAATAAGAATTTATTTCTTGGGCTCTGAAGATATTTGAAGCTAAAGCGAACTAGAAGCAGGTAAGAAGTGTCTTCCCAAGGTTAGGTGAACAATTCGTGGCATAAATCAATGCAGAGTGATGGGCAAACCTTGGACAGTGAAAACATGGACACCCACTAGGTTCCCCTTTCTTTGCGCAGTGTACCCAGGGCAAATACAGAGCACTTGCTGACCTCCTACTAAGAGCCAGAACTGTGCAATTGTTATGTTGAAATCTCAACAACTTTCTAAATAACGGATATTTTCACCTCTTATGGAGACCACAAACTGATTCTTTGGAAGGATGAGTTACCCAAGGTCATTATCTTTGAAGAGTGAGTGCTGAAATTTTCAGCACTTTAAAGCTTCAAAGCTCCCAGCTCCTTTTCTTGGCTTAGACATGTGGATACTTCTGGAAGATGGGAGATGTACTTTAGATAGGGACTTGAAATCAGAAAACAAAAGACCAAACCAGATTGGAAATCAGCACTCTGTGTGCCTAGTAGTTTCCCCTCCTTTGGGGGAATTTTAGTGTAAGGCTCTGAAAATAAGTTCCTGGCAGCAGGAATAATGTAGCTAGCTAGATGAAAGAAAAGACAGAGCTGCCTGCTTCTGTCTTCCCCAGCAGAGGGAACAAACTGCTTCAATCACTGGGAGGGGTCCCTTTCCCCTTCAGTCCCTAGGGCTGAAGATGCTGAAGTTGGCTCTTATGATTGTGCGGGTCTGAGTGAGGAGGGCTTTCCTCTGCTCTTCAGAGGATGGTTCTAGCCAGGTGAGAGCCAATGTAAACATTTTTCACTGCATTACTGACAAATGTCCAGAAGCGTCTATACATTTTAAAAAAAAACTTTTACAATATATGGTTTCTCTCTGTCTCAGGCCTGTTCCTGGAAAGGTCAGAGAGATGATATAGCCATTTCTTCCAGAGGAAGGCAGCTGAGTTTTCCTTAAATGGGAAGGAAGACTCCTTTCCCTTTGTAACTTTACCATCATTCAGTTTTAAAAAATAACCCCACTCTCCTTAAAAGTACATCAGGGTTAATTTTCTCTCGCCTTCACAATATTGATTGTTGGACTGAGAAGCAGGCAAAAGGCATAGCACCTAGCAATTCTTTTCTCTGAAGACAGGAAGCACTTTATTCCAAGTAATATACAGAAATGAGTTAAGAACTTCCCATTGGTTTGCAATGAAAGGGCCCATTTTCTTTATATATAGAAGGAGAAATAATGAAACTCTGTTCGAGAATAGACTCTTTTTAGAGGACACAATTAAGTGGAAAAGGCTTTCTATTCTGATAAATACAGACTGATGGTTGCTGAGACACATTTGATCCTTGCTGTCTTTAGCCTGGAGTAATCTTCAGTGTTCGTCATTTAGTCTGGTTTCTAGATGCGGAGAATTACTTATTAAAATTCAACACTATAAAAACTACCTAAAAACACATATCTCAAAATTAGTGTCTGTAAAACTATGAAAGAGACACTATTGCCTATTGGAAAGAATCTGAGCTTCAGGTTAGAATCCTGAATTTGTACATTGCCTGTGCCAGGACATGATAAAATGCAGAATATCTTTGGCAAGTTACCCTCTCTTTGAGTCTTAGCTTTGTTGTCTATAAAATAGGGATAATGACATCTGCCTTGCAGGGTTGTCATAAGGTTTAAAAAAAACAGTTGATGCCAAGTGTCCAGTACATTGTACCCAGAAAATGTTTGTCTTAATAATCATTAAAATTTCCAGTGTATGGTACAACCTAAATAAGGACATCTGGCCTTTTCATAAGAATTTGGAATATTTTGCCTGTCGAATTTATAGAGAAACAATATCTGTCCATACCTACCCTACCTAGTCACATCACTTAATTAACAGAGATAGGAGTTTTGAGAGATAAGTTTCATATTGTTTTACTTTGAATACTTATTGAGATTCATTCTTTTAAACAGCTGAATTACTAGCATATGGGTTGTAGTATATGTCTATTAAGTATCACACAGGTCAGCCAGAAGCATTTATTATATTAAGGTATAACTTTGGCAAATGAATATCTTTCTCTAGTTTGAAATATCTGCACAAATAGAAATATATGTAAACAATTATACAATGTGTATGTGTGGAGATAGATGAACATTTATTTATAAATTGTGCAATGATGTCATGTGTATGTACACATATATAGGTGTGTGGATGCAAACACACACACACAGAAATACTTCAGTTATCGATCAGTTTAAGTGATCAGATCATGCTACATATGTGTTAGGCAGGGAGGATAGGAGTGTATGGATGGAAGACTGCCCCCACTAAGTGAGCTTCCGTCTAACTAGGGGCTGATCGACAAAAACAAACAAAAACGCATGGGGAGTTGAAGTATTTCTTAATGTTATGAAGACAAAAGAGTGTTTTTGCCAGGATTTCAGATTTAAATTTATAATTTTTTTTGCAATGCTGGGGATCAGTCCCAGGGTCTCATACATGCTAGACAAGTGCTCTGCCCTTGAACTACACCCTATCCCCTTCAGATTTCATTTTGCCATTTGTACTTCCATTTAAATCTGTGATTTTCTTCTTCTTCTAGCCCAGAACCTATGTATTGACTTTTCAGATGAGAACCTAGCAGACTGCATAAGAAATGGCAGTAAGAAAGTCACAAAGCTGCAAGGGTTTGGAACTAGATAGGAAGTTTGCCTAGTATTCACATAGTGATAGAAAGATTAAGGCATCAGTTAACTCTAAAGCAAAGCTTTCATATCTCTTGTTGCTTCAGATCGAGTAGTCAAGTAGTGTGGGAAATGCCAAATCAAAGCACCGTTTGCTTATCCCATTAAACCCTTACCCATTTCTCCTCCTCAGAGAGGAACCTCAGCTTGAGTATATTTGCAAGGCTTTATTTTTGGCATCAGACATGGCAACAACAATGGCAACAGTGAAAGCCACAAATTGTTTAGGACTTACTATCTGTCTGGCACTGTAAGTGCTTATATGTATTGTCACATTTAATCTCCACAAGAACTTTGCATAAACGGGTATTATCCACATTTATAAAGATAGACATGCCCTAGTCTCTGCCACCAAAGGATTTACAATAGTCCGATGAGATTTACTATAATCCCATATTGGGATTATATATTGGTTATATATTTAATCAAGTGGAAATAGGCCATCAAAGAAAGGCAGCATGGCAGAGTGAAATACTTAGAGAACTGTTAGATCATGGTTGGATTTCTGGTCGTGTCCCTTTCTAGTTATATGATCATTGGTGAGTTCAACTCTCAGAGTGTGGATTTTCCATTTACAAAGTGGGGTTTGTAATAAAGCCACTTGAAAGCATACAGAAAGCACCTAGAGTGGTACTTGTCCCATCTCTGTGTGATACAGGGCCACTGTAGCCATAGAAATGTGAGCCAAGTGCTGGGCAAGTTCGTAGAACATGCCATTTAATTCTCCAGGGAAGGGAAATGAGAGTTCAGAGAGGAGGTGGTGTTTATCCTAAGCCTTATAAGGATAGTGTTAAGAGGTGAGGGTGAAAGGGTGTTCCAGGCAGAGAGAACAGCAAGGGTGAAGGCAGAGAGGTTTGGAAATGCTGGCACATTACCTGAGTGGAAAGTTATCAGGTCACCCATGGAAACCTTGGTAGAAAGGTTGGGAGGTAAGAAGAAGCCAGGTCCAGGTCCCAGTCTCTGAATGTATTTAAGTGATGGCTGATGAGAAATGGACTAACATTCAACTATTCAGCGGGTACTGACTGTCAGCTGTCAGCAGGAACAGCACATTACTGTTACCAGTAGATCTGGGGACAGGGAATTAGGGATAATTCAGGAAAGTGATTTTTTAAAAAAATTTTGTTAACTCAATGGGTGGTAACTGTGTCCAAATTCTCAACAAAATATTGCTATAAGCTGTTCCGTCTTCACATGGCTTCTTTTCTTTCCCTACTTTTCAATCCATGGATGTTAAAAGCTTCAGATGTTGTCACAGCTGCCCTGGTGGCAACAGAAGGGCATTAGGGGCAGATGGGGTGAGAGGTAGGTGCGAGGTAGGTGCAGCTTTCGTGTATGTGAGCTGTAAATTTGGTGTTTCTAAGTTAGATATTTGTGGAGTTTACTTTGAAACAATAGATTAGGAAAACAACAATTTAAGAAGTTTTGATGTTTAAGAAAATTAGCTATGATTATGTGGCATATTTACAAATGTGGAAAAAAACTTTACCAATGATCATAATAGCACAAATCTATCCATGACATTTATAGGACATAAAGTGTGTCAGGCCCACTTCTATCACTTAAATATGTTTTCTTCTGTCCCCAGAGCAGTTCTCTGATGTAGGTTTATGGTACGTTCCTTGTTATAAATGAGGATGTGGAAGTTCAGAGATCCATAAACCAAATGATGGAGTTGGGTTTCCAGCCTGGAGCTATTCAATTTAAACCTCATGTTTGCTCCCTGATAATCTTGGGTAGGTGACACATTGTTGCACGTATCATATATGATCTGGCCCTCATTTCTTTTCCTCCAACATCATCTTTCATCACTTTTCCTTTTTATACTTTAGTAATATCAGACTCATTATAGTTCCTGAAATAGGCCAGACTGTCTTGATTTTGCTCATTTCCTCTTCCTGGAATTCCTTTACTCCGAGGCCACTTTTTCCTGCCCTTCCCCTGGCCAGTTTCTG